AAAGAATAATTGTGTACCTTGAACTGGAAATGCCCAAGAAGCTTGGATCTCATTATTTTCTTAATGGCTCTACAGCCCTTTGGACCTTGGACGCGTGTTAAGTTTCTTAATCCTACACACAGTCGGTAGGACTCCTTCGACGGGGGATCAGCCCATCGCAAGGCCGCTACCTGCACACAGGACAACACAGACACAGAATAAACGCACACAGACATTCATGCCTGGAGTGGGATTTGAACCAACGACCCCAGTGTTGGAGTGAACGAAGACGGTTCATTCTTTAGACCGCACGGCCACTGTGATCGGCTGCTTCGATCGTATAACCCCATATTAATGACCAATATTTATATAACCTCACTTAAACCAGAATGGTAACAAATCTGTATAAAATACACCGTCATTATTTTAAGGATTTTAATTTGAATGTGGACTTCGAAGAATGTTGTGCATATTGTTGTCCATACTTTCGGAAGTTATTAATTAGAAGCCGATTTTGGTCCCGTTGTCTATGTAATCACATCGCGTACTGCGTTTCTGAACTTAAGGACAGCTGAATCATATTTTAAAATTACGGTTATATCCCTTGTGATGTTTTTTGTGAGAATAAACAGTTTTGTTTTGTCACACATAAATAACACGTCATCCTTTAAGGTAGTGAATTGGCCTTTACAGATCCCCTTCATAAAATGTTCCCTTTAAGTCCATATTTTTTTTTTGGTCTGCCATTCATATGCTTGTGACTAAGGATTCTCCTCGGGAGAAAATATCCACTACGCATCCTAGTGTGTCATTTTATTTACGAGTTATAAATTGCGTTTGCAATAGGTCATATTAATATAAGATTAATTATTACTTACTTACTTATGGAGCTGAGCCCTTCTGGAGGAGCCGCCAATTCTGCAGCTACTCAAGAATTTCCCAGTATTTTATGGAACCCGAAGGTTCTTTACCATGTTCACAAGAGCCCTCCACTGGTCCCTATCCTTTGCCTGATCTATCCAATCCATACCATCCCATCCTATCTCTCTAAGATCCATTTTAATATTGTCCACCCACCTACGCCTTGGTCTTCCCTGTGGTCTCTTTCCTTCTCGTTTTCCCACCAATATCCTATATGCGTTCCTCGTCTCCCCTGTTCGTGCTACGTGACCTGCCCACCTCATCCTCCTTGACTTGACCATTCTAATTATACTTGGAGAAGAGTACAATTAATTATTAAGATTCATAATTTAATTTAAGCCATTAGGCATATTTTATGGAAAATTACAATCATCAGATGTAGGCCTGTTTGTTGTAGTTAAACCTTTACAATTACGGTTAAGTCTGTTTAGTACAGATTGAAATTCACGCTGTACGAACTGGCGCTGGAGTCCACTTTTCTATAATTTACTTCGCCTTTTTTTTACCAGTCATCATTCCACCTTTACTTCACACACTCACTCCTCCTGAGGTGTGCTATAGCCATGATCAGGCAGCACGCTATCACAACCTCGGTGTTTAAATTTGGAGCTCCATCTCTGATCCGGCATCTATCTGATTAAAAAGTAAGCGAATTATTAGAATATCGTTTCAAAGTACACGCTTCTCCTCTTCATCATGACAGCTGAATACATTCAGTTAGGGAATCATTTATATTTATAAATCCCGAAATAAATATTATTCCTGTCCTTAGCCTAAATCCGAACATTCAGATTTGACTTGGCTAATAGTAAGTCACCGAGTTCAGGGAACAAGTCCTCCCGAAGGGATTTTAAGCCGTGGGTCCCGTGTCGTAGATTTACGGCACGTAAAAATCCTCATATCTCTAGGAGACCTCTGAGTAAAATTAGGTAACAAGTTTCCCGCCCAAGTAATTTCCAATGCCTCTGGTAGAGGGGGGAAATATCAGGTACCGAGGGCCGACCTCGTTGGCTGAACGGGGATGATAGCACGCACCAGTACCGGTAAGATATGGCGACAGTAGAAATTAAAGGGGGATGCACAATGGTCCAATAACTGGTCTAAGTGCATGGGGAAACCCACCCCCTCTAATAATAATAATAATAATAATAATAATAATAAATAGTAAAAAAGTCACCGAGTTACAATTCCAGACAGAACAGTCTGTTAGCACGTGCTCAACCTGGTTCGCTAGCTGATTTCTTCTTTTTCTCCTACCCCTAAGGTGGAGTCTCTACGTTCCTCCGAAACGTCGGTTAGCACAATACACGGCACCACATCTCAGAAAACTGCTTTCTTCAACAGAGTGATTCTTTCAAAAATAACTAAAAACAGTTGAAATGAAGGAAGTGTAGGTTCAGATGGGCTTTGTGTCAGAATATTGTTTCTGTTACTGTGCAAGCCTGTATCTAAGAGTTAATTCAGTTTGTGCAAGTTCAAACTCTCCGCTTGGTGTGGGATTTCTGTTCGCTGGAGCATCACATTGTTCTGTTGTGAATAGGGAACAGTAGAGAGTGAGTCTCCTGCAGGAGTTTAACAAAGCTTCCCTTAACATTATTCTAGGAGCTGGAATTATCACAACTCTGACTGAACAAGGTTAAATTTACTATTAACAGTTTGCCAGTTTTCTTAGGTTTCGGTTTACTGTTTTTGTTTTCTTCTGTCAGGTATCGTGGAGACAAAACCGGATTGCTTTCTGTGTGGCTTCTATGAAAAAGGATTAATTTACAGTAAAACCAGAGAATGTAGGATTGGGACACCCAGTGCCAAATCATTATATACTTTTATGTTTTTCACACAAATAAATCAACACATTTATTAGGCTCACTATACGTGTTCGTATATGCACATATGTGCACCGATTTTTATATGAAATATCTTGCTAAAATGTAATCACAGATTTCTCTTGTGCCTGACTAGCATTTAGCGCCGCTTAAATTTATTAATATATTATGTGTATAAAACGTTATAAACCTTAACTCGTTTTCTGAATTTCGATAAATAATAATAGCACTTATACGTTATAAATTAATATCATATAATTTTCATTTCGTACATCCTGATGTGTTATTATATACTGCTTATTAGTGTCCGTCGTAACATAATATAACGGTCAAGGTTAAAATTACCTTAGCTACATGTTTCGGCTTTTAAAGCCATCATCAGGCAAAACACATGATTACTATATTCACACACTATTGAATTGCAATTTCATTGTCATAGTAAAGTTGCAATCTGTATTCCCACCAGAGCTGACAAAATACATTGTAAAATGAGGCACCGGCCAAAGAATTGTCAAGTTTACTTTATGTATAGAAGTCATGAATATACCGTTATGTCCGCGGGAATATAACAACAAGATTGCAACAACTGATTTCAAGATATGCAATATCACATGAAGAGTTTTTAACCATATTATATAATTTTCGTTTTATAATAAGTTTAGAATTCATTGTATTTTTTATACCTTGTATTTTATAACGTAACAGTTATCAAGTATGCAGCTTTACTATCACAATGAAATTGCAGCTCAATAGCGTGTGAATGTAGTAATCACGTGTTTTGCTTGATGATAGATTTAAAAGCCGAAACATGTAGCCAAGGTAATATTAACCTTGACCGTTATGTTGTTGTGGTACGATGGAGTGCAATAAAGAATTGTAATATCACATGAGGTATTTTTATGAACAAATCAATTTAAATATTAAGACATTTAAATAATTTATCACATACTATTATTTCTCCAAAATGAATGTAAGGTAAAGCGTCATACATAATTAAGATATATGAATGAATCACCTAATAAACAACAAGTTTCCATACATACAACCACATCCGCCCCTCTGAAAGCTACAAGTTTTTCTTGTTTTAATATCAAGGTATTATCAAAATATATTTACTTCATACGTCAAATATACCACTGTTGCACAAAATCTTTCATTTTGAGACTCACAAGATATTTTAAGATTTTGATCGTCGATCAAATCCGTGAGATTCAAGTCCCTCCCCAATATATTTATTATTTAATTATTTAATCACTAAGTTATGGATTGTCTTTTATTTACAGGCTAACGTCACCACACATATACCAGTTTAAGAGTTTTATCAATATGCATGCGAAAGAAGTTTTGATACAGACATTAAGCACAGAAAAACAGCGACATTGAAGCTATGATCGTCATTGGTTCCGGAGGAGGGAAACCAATTTCTACGGGGCCTGGTAGCCACAGAGATTATCTGACTGGTTTTTCAGACGTAGTAATTGACAAACCTGGTACACGATATATTTCCCGCGGGCCACAATTATTCCTGGTTGTGCACAATCTTTTCTTTACTAATGTTATGTCCTTGGGTCCAGAGTATTTACTCTGCCCACGATATCCCCGTGCTCGATTCAGTCTCCATAAAAATCCATATTTCTTGTTTTGTCAGCTTTCACCAGAAACCACAAATATGCTCACTTGTAAGTCATATTATATAGCTGCAATAACCATGTGTAGGGTGTGTACTGCTCTGTAGTTCGATCCAAAGACCAACTTGAAAAGAATCAGTTCAGTAGTTGGAGTTCTATATCCAGGAGATTGGTCTTTCTCACACATGTCCCCGCAATATTTTGTTAAGAAGAATGTTATGAACAAACATTTAAATGATTTACAATCAGTACCATCCCACATGCTTTCCAGTTTTACATACAGTAATCCCGCCTTTTCGGTGCTAATATATAGTGTCTGCAGTTCATGAATGGAACATACTATGAATGGGAATAATGCAGCATCCTCGGATAATCTGTATTGTCCTCAGATTTATAAACTCTGTCATTATATTTTCACGTTATATTAACTGAAACCGCAGCAAGTGGAAGATACACCATTGTAAACTAACCGAGTAACAACCCAATTCCGACAAGGACTTCTAATGCAGTAGTTCCCAGTAAAACATTGAAGTCGAACTGGGACCTAGCGAGTTCATGATGTAGTGTCTAACATCGTCGTACGTGGTAAAGCCAAAATTCGAGAGTTTGCTATGTGCTATTTAACCCCATGAATTCGTTGATATTTCAGAGTCAGACGGTCCAGCCTAACCAGAAGGGTGGAGTAATTATGAGCAACCAGGCTCTAGCCCTACAAGGAGTGCGACGCCAGCAAGCGGGGAATTACACCTGCATCGCATCTAACGTGGAAGGCGACGGAGAGAGCAACACTGTGGAACTCCGTGTAATGTGTGAGTACACTGGTGCATCACATTCAGGGGCAAAAATTGTCAGTGCTTTGCTGCTTAGACTGTTTAATGGTATGTACTTTGTAAATGTTAACCTGACTATCAGTAATGGCTCCCTGAGATCGATGTAGGAGGTATTTATCTTCTTATATTAAATAAAAAAAATTGAATGAAACAAAAGTGTTTCAAGATCTTGTTATAGAAAATAGAAGTAGGTTACTTAATTTGAAATATCAGCTAAAGGGTTAATTTATATTCTACAATAAATCGATCAAAAGTCAGTAATATGTTGTTAATATAGTTACTTTGTTCTGCACATTATACATCGTCCTGTTTTTGCCTGTTTCCCTTATTTTGAAAAATATAGAAGTAGGCTTTAAGAATTCATCTTCCTGCCCCTGTGTGTATGTGTGTGTCCCTAGTCCCTATCTCCGAAATATTTTGTTTTAAATAAAGAACAGGTCGATGAATAATGTCCAAAAACGCAATAATTGTGTTAATTTACCGTCGTCACAAACTCTTACGATACTGTTAATTTTGTAAATTATGTGCACAACGAATTCAACCTTTACAGTACTTTAGTTAGATACAAACATATATTCGTGGGCATATTTCGAGAATGTCATTGTGGTTTTTGTAATGTGATAAAGAATACTAAAAACACATTTGATTCAAATATGGTTTAATTGGGATTAAAGATCAAAATGAATACTTAAAATGCGGTGTTTTATCCTCACTAATAAAGTAATCGCAACTTTGAATGTCTTGGCGTTTAAAATATATAAATCCAGGGAAAACATATTAATTTATAGTGACGTACTTCATGGAGTTATATGCAGACTCTTTTCCATTACGCCACTCTTCCCGTGTTGCCAAGTGTAAATTTAATGAATGCCATCATCATCATCATCAGTTATCTGTCAAGACGACAGGTCCACAGTCTCTTCCAAAACAATTCCTCCATTTAATGCGATCTAGAGCTTTCTCCTTCAATTGACAGTATCCTCTTCTGTCCCCAAGGTTATCCAGCATCTTCTTACGTGTTCTTCCTCGTCTTCTTGTCACTTCTATCCGCCCCTCTATCTTTCCTTCGATAACTTCTTTTAGAAGGCAGTTTCTGCGTAAAACATGACCAATCCAATTAGCCTTCCGTTTTCTTATTTCGTGTAGGATATTCCTCTGCTCACTGACTCTAATTAACACTTCTTCATTTCTCACATAATCGGTCCAACTGATCTTCTCCATCCTTCTCCAACACCACATTTCGAAACTTTCCAGATGCCATGTCGTAGAAAATAAAATTTTGCCTAAGGAATTTATCTGAATCAGATGGGTAGTTCCAACTTTGGGGAAAAACTATATTCTTGGAAGAAAATAATTACGCCGTCGTATTTGAAAAAACGACAGAAGCATACGTATATGAAAACATCTTGTCATGTCTCATAAATCTTACCAGATATTCGTCTTATCAAAAGCAAATTTTCCTGTCAGAATGCTATTTTGATAAAATTTGTTTCTATGAAATCCTTTCAGATGTCACATACGTCGGAAGAAAATTATAGGCTGATGAAATTTATTTCTTCAACACCTAATAAAATTAGCACTCGTGTTCTATACTGACTTCAATAAAAGTTAATATTACTTTAGTAACTCCATTGAATGAGGTCCTTATTGAAAACCTTAATATTCACTCAGCTGATCAAGAAATTCCACGCTCTTTTGGATCCCCACCGTATATTACCACGCTCGCAAGTTTAAACTTGGACTCTATTCTGAGCCAGACGAATTTAATCTACATTCATACATATATGTATATAATCGTATATTCTCAAAGTTTCACTTTAATAAACCCTTCCACTTAGTCTCCAAATTTGTCTGTTTCCTACAAGATTTTATACTAAAATTTGGCAGCGGATTTTATATTCGAGATATTAGCTGAATACCCCGACGAGAATATCATCCTCTTAATTATATTAACCCACTTGCTTTAATCTTACTAGCATCCTTCCGTAATTTTTTTATTGCTAGTGGGGTGGGACCGAGTCCCTTGTACTGCGGCCACTTCTGGCCTATTATACCAGCCCCAGATGATAGATGAGGGTGATTGTGGAGCCATTGGTGGAATGAAGATTGGCAGGGAAAACCGAAGTACTCTGAGAAAACCTGCCCCAGCGCCACTTTGTCCACCACAAATCCCACTTGACCAGACCCGGGATCGAACCCGGGTCGCCACGATGGGAAGCCAGCGACTAACCGCTTGAGCTATGGCGCGTAAGTATTCATGTGTAACCTACAAGACAGTCATGTAGGTACAGTTCAAATTTTCTTACACTTGTTGCTTTATACATGTGCAGCCATTTTCCCCCATATCAGAAAATATAAATCTCAGTAACATGAAATTATTTCCAGAGCACTATAAACGCTGGTAAATACTTACGTCTTTAGAATTAATAATTTGTGTTTATATACAACGGTTTCAGTATTATGGTGCATCTTAACGCGGTATATTCAAGGCTTATGATATGAAGCCTACTTTGTAGGTCATATTTCGGGAGTACAGTATCAGCAAAGAGTTGTGTAGCATAACCTGCATTCATTTGGTAACTGGTAGTCAGGGTGCAGTTCTGGCTTTTGAATAGTGGCTTCCACTTCAAATCCCGGGCTGGATTACTTTGCGAATTACAATTGTGGGTTCACACGAGGCAGAATGGGAAGTAGGAGAGAGATTTTAAGCACAGAGTAATACTGTCACCATAGCCCTAAGATTAAATCAATGTGTTATAAACCCAAGGATTTACTATACATAATACCAGAGAAACAGGGTAGGGAGCGATGCCCTCAACCTGACCGCTACAGTGCGGTGCAAGGTAGCTTCTGTTGAAAAGTTATGCCTCTTCAAGTTTTTGGATTCTAATACGTTTTGTGGCGCGAAAGTTGGCGAAAAGTTCGCAAAGATGTTACAGTGTAATGCCTCCGAAACTGAGGCCTGATAACTGCAAAGTAAACATATTATACTTTAATGGAGTTCGTGATAGTCATAAATTATGAGTTTATCTAGACAAGAACCTGTTTGCAAGACAACTTCCATGTTAAGTAAAATTTATAATTTTGTGTTTGAACTGTGAGATAATATAAGAACCTAGAATTGGGGGCACCATTGAATTTTCTATGTCTGTAATTAAAATAGATATACCTATGATGAAAATTTTAACAAATATATGATCCTTAATCGTTATGTTCTACATTGATCATATTTCTTTGCGATGACAACGTAAAAAATACAAACATGATTCATTTTTATCTCTATTCATTTATTTAGTTAAGTTAACCTCTGATTTGCATAGTCTACAACCCTCTAACGCTGGATTGTTGCTATCGACGATTCTTAAATTAATCTACTTAAATTTACTTCAGTTTAATCTACTTAATATCATATTTATTATATTTAAGCATCCTGCTACACTCGCACAATATATATGAGACAAACTCCGTCTTAAGTGCAACAATTTAACTGTAGTTCTTTCTTCTTGCCTTCCTCCACACTGCATGTTTCGGCCCTAAATGGCCATTATCAGGTGTGTATTCTTATGTAGCTGCTACACTGCCCGTAGTTTAAAATTTAAAATCACCAGTCTTTCCTGTTGTATGTATGTATGTATAAAATCTTTGTTAACATATACGCGTCAATTTGATTTCTAAAATTGGCTCTTTTTTAAAACTTCAATTCAAATTAAAATGTTTAAAAGTTTTCTGTTCTTTTTCTTTTTCCAAATTTTTAAAAATTAAAATTTCTCGGGGTACATATATATAGTCTACTTAATTTGAGCTAAACGATCCCTCTGTTGGATTTGAGGTTCTGAAGGGGGTGTCAATGAAGAGTACGGTTCTCTGAGTTGTAACGCCTTACAGTTCGGAGTGATCCCGGCGTTGCGGAGTAACATATCGCTTCCTTCTTCAGATTTTTTACTCAGCTTGCTGCGTGCTTCTGCTGGTTTACTGTTTGGCTTAATTTTCAACCTTTAAGTTGGTGACAATGTGCTCCTCCGAAATTTGGGGCTGTCTCCAAACTACAAGGCATTGCAACTCGGAAGACCGTACTCTTGTAAATAATTCCCTTTTGTATATTCTGAAGTTGGAAACTATTTTTTCCGGGTTTCATTTTCTTACTTGCACAAGTTACAACATCAAAAAAATTCTTTATACCTAGGTTAACTTTTGTTAGTACAATTTCAATGATTCTTCTTCTTCTTCTTCTTCTTCTTCTTCTTCTTATTATTATTATTGTTATTATTATGATGTTAAAATTATCAGTGTTTTCATTCTGATTCATTTATATGAATAAGCAATAAGTAAATAATTAAAATATATATTTTTCAGTTGCCCCAGGCGAACTTCACAGTTGTAGGCAATTTTCTGTTCAAAGAACCCTGTAACGTCATCAATTAAAATTGAGTCCCAATAAGTCAATCCAATTTACCGTAACCTTTGCCGGTCGGTTTAACATAGATATAACACTTTGGACTCGTAATCTGGAGGAGCTGGTTCGAATTTCGGCTGGGACACCGGCTGCCCTAACTGAATTAGTAGTTTTTCTAGAGGCAAATGCAGAGAAAGTACCTCAATTCGATCAGGACCGCTTCCACCCCTGAACTTTTCGAATTCACTATACATCAGTCGCTTCGTTGTTCGACGCCTATATAGTCACGATTCTGACAGCGTCTTAAAATAAACCACAAACGACGACAACTCAGCATTATGCCTCGTTTGACATTAAATAGTTTTTGCATGTAACACATGATGACTATAGACAGTTATACAATTTATTATCCAGATTCAAACAGCTTCTAGAATAACCTTAACATGTGATTACAATACCTGATACCCTGTTCACAGACAAGCCGATCTGTCGGCCAGATCAGAAGCGTGTGTATGGAGTAGCACGCCATGAGAACGCCCATGTGGTATGCGAGGTAGAGGCATACCCCCCGCCCGATACTTTCAAATGGTCCTTCAATAACACTGCCGAAACAATCGACGTGCCGCAGGCTCGCTACAGAACAGCCGCCGCTACGGGAGGGTCCACAACTTCGCAGTCGATGCTTACCTACACTCCCATGACGGAGATGGACTACGGGACTGTCATGTGCTGGGCCGGCAACACGGCCGGCCAACAGAAAGAACCCTGTGTCTTCCACATCATTGCAGCAGGTAATGGCTCCTCATATACAGACTACGAGTATAGCAAAACCCCAAATTTAAAGGGCTCCGGTCTAGAAAACTGAAATTAACGGCCGTGTGGATTCGTCACGCTGACCACACCACACCCTCTATCCGCTAAAGTTGACACTAACTTCGCCGACAAGCGGCGGTCGCTCGGTCGGTATAGTTCACTTACGGACTAAAGCCACATAGTTATTTCTTCAGTATATGATATGTATAAATGTATAAGAGAGAGATTATTGCCGTCAGATGAGATGATGAACATGTAGAAATTCTTATTTGAAACATTTCAAATAATTCCTGTGTTTATTGTATTATCTACTATATCAGTTACATTTTAACAAAAATTTACTGTTAGTCTCTTCCTTCTAATCTCCAAACTTCGAGCCGGAATATAAGTGGGTGTAGTACCCAGGCATTTTCTTCTTTTAGATTTTGGTCTCCTGGAATGTGACATCATATAGTCTTATGGGTAGCTACCGACAATTCGGAGAGGAGCGGTGTCTTTGTAGTGGGGGTAGTAAGTACCCCAAAATCCCTGCAACCACCTACAGAACTACACCTCGTCACAAGCCAGAATGCTGAAGCATAAATCATCACAAACCAAAGCTTACACCATGTCCATTCTTGTTTTTACTTAGGTCATCCAGACACACCATTCAACTGCACTCTGCTCAACCAGACAACAGAGTCGCTGGAAGTGGACTGTGTGGAAGGTTTTGATGGTGGGCAGCCACAGTACTTCCTGCTCGAAGTGTTCGACATGCAGACAGGCCAACTGCAAGCCAACGTTTCCTCCAAGTTCCCTGTGTTTAGTGTCAGTGGGCTGGGACCAGGCATGGTGCTCAAGATGTTGGTCTACGCCGCTAATTCCAAGGGCAAGAGCGACCCTGTTGTCGTCGAGGGCTTCACACTCAAAGTTGCCGAGAAACAAACTGGTGAGTGCCACGTCATATCCCAGTATACAGAGTCTTCAGTTAACGACGATGCAAACGTGATTTGAAAATGGCAACATAGCTGGGCTTACAACGGCAATGTAACGTCATATAACGAAAACTCTGTATACCCGGTTCATATTGTGAGAATTAGGCTCTTCTCAGAACAGAAAGTAAGTGTTTTGCTTGTCATCGACGTCACGTTTAGAGAAAACGTTGAATGTGTGTGTTGGTTCATGGACCGAATCTTTCTTGCGTTATCACAACTTTTTAAAGGCGCGTCCACATTACTCGTACTCGTGCTCGTGTGACTCGCTATGCTCACGAGTAATGTGGACGATATGATAAGACACGAGACAAGCAAATTTTTAATTTTTAATTTAAAAACTATAACCAATAAATTAAAATAGGACTACAGCCCATACACACTACGAGTAAATATACGGATCCTCACGCGCCGAAGCCTGGCAAGCAACTGAAGTAGTGTAGACGAAGATTTACGAGCACAAGTAAAAGCCAGACGAGTCTCCCGACGAGCACAAGCCTGGCGAGCACGAGCAATGTGGACGCGCCTTAACAGCGTTGAGATGTGTCGAGTGCTGGAATGTTTTGTGAACCTGTTATAAAGGGCGTGGACGGAAGCTCGAGTATCTACAATATCCGATTTTACCGATGGGGCAGAGGCGGACCGCCAGAAACCATGATCAGGATAGAAATTCGAATTCAGTGCCTCCAGAATACGAAGCTAAGAGTTTTACCACAACGCTACTAATTCGAATGATGTTTTATTTTCGTGACCGAGGGTCACGCGGTAGCGTAGTTGGTTGAGGCACTATGCTACAAGCCAGAAGGTCGCGCGATCGAATCCCGCTGAGGTGGATTTTTTCAATTTTCCCAATCCTTCCAGCCGCACTATGGCCCTGGGGTCGACTCAGCCTCTAACAAAAATGAGTACCAGTAATATTCTTGGGGGTAAAGGGCGGCCGGCGCGTAAGGCTGACAACCTTACCTCCATCTATGAACCAATTGTCTAAAGAAAATGTGGGAGCCTCGACGTCTCACAATCTTTTCGGCCTCCACGGCCTGTTACAGGGTTACCTTTTCTTTTACTTTATCATCATCGTGAAGAATTCCGTCTTCTGGTATGTGGCGCCGCGTGGGTCTTGTATGAACTAACACCCAAAAGTATTGGGTGTTACTTTGCTTAAGCTACCTGTCACGTTGCTAGGTAACAAAAATATTGAAATTGTATGATCAGAGTGCAGAAAGGAGACTTTTGGGTTTACTGGCACAGTTTGACATCAAATTCTTTATACATTATAATTACTCTAGTATTTGACTTCTGCTGTGAAAATGGTAGCTCAGGTGGGAGAGATTTCCAAGCTGAGTTAACTGATTGGTTGGTCTATCAGAGGCATGTGGGCGGTTTCCTTATATTTTCTGTACGTGGTGTTTGGTTCAATCTGCAAAACTAACGTTTCTCTCCAACATAGAAAATAGATGTATGAAACTAGCTCAGAATTGTGTACTTTATAGTGTTAGTGTCAAACGTCCAGGTTCCAGAATTAAGGATCACAGCTCATATGATCTTAATTCATGGATAGACAAAGAGATATTTCGTGTAAATGACGCTTCATTATTCTATCAGTGTCTTCAATGGTGGAAATGCAAATTTCTGTTGTTTAGGTATCAGAATGTTTCAGGTTTATCCCTTCCCATGTTGAAGAAAATAGAAGCCTTCATAACGTATATTAAAATACAACCTACAAGGTGTAAGACATACGATATTAAACGAAGTTGCGTAATATACAGAAACTTCAAGTTTTATGGGTTTTGTTTTCAGCCACGCAGTCTTGGTTCGGCAATATCGTTATTAGATATGAACATGAATCAAGAGATTAGGTGAATTACATTTTACAACAAACTTCCCGATTTCAACACTTTATTTGGTAATATAACGTCAAAGAATAAAATTTAAAAATTAATATTACGAAACTTTGGCTGTATATAATTATCATATATTTACCGTACCAAATTTTGGCAATTCTGGGATGATGCTATTTCGGTAACATACCTAATGAAAATTTATTATTTGCCTCTAACTTCGTAGCCTTTCACTGTGTAAGAATATTTTCTTTTACCATGTACATTCTCGGCGGTCACGGTAGCCGAGCGGTCTAAGGCATGCACTGTCTTCGCTCGCTCTGAAGCCGGGATCATTGGTTCGAATCCCACTCAGGGCATGGGTGTTCGTGTGCGTTTTTCTGTGTTTGTCTACAGGTAGAGGCCTTGCGACGAGCTGATCACTCGCCCAAGGAGTCCTACCGAATGTGTAAGATCTAGTAAACCGAAGTGAAACAGAGAGTTTAATGGAGGTAGGCCTAGGCCCAAATTTTGGCTGTAGCGCCACAGGAAAAAAAAAAGTACATTCTCAGTCTCTCCCACAATTTAAATTAAACCTCCTGTTAGATTTCTACTTGGCTTCAGAACCATGTTGTTTCGTAACCTACGATGTATAATCTCCGAAATTGATTCAGTTTTATCGAATAACAAGTAAACTATATCTACACGGATAATACAGTAATTTTTTGCTTTCTGTACCGGTTGGATGAGAAGTGGCAGGTCTGAATGAACTGCGAAAGACTTGGGAAGAAAGGATCATGATCCATAGCGGAATTTTCCTGGAATGACAGGACCAAACTATGAAAGCTCCTAGATAGCCATCGTCCAGCCTTATATTCGAACCATAGCTTAATATCCGTATTTCTGAAGATAAAGCAAGAAGTTCTGGGAAGAACTATCAGGTCGACTCAGATAAATTGCTGCTGTTCTCTTGGTACCTGGTTCCGTCGGGACCCATGATCAAGTTTCTGTCCGTTCCATGGCCGTTTATGTGTTTATAAATTGGGTCTCCTCTTCGACGGATGAGGGATTGGTCTGAATGGGCGCCACGTTTGTTTTACCATAATTTCGCACGACTGTACCTGCTCTCACACAGTGTCCAGGTAAGGACATTTGCACTCTATGAACACCATGCACGCTTCATCACTTTACAACAATGTATAACCTTTATGAGGATATACACAGGACATCTCTCAATGTGGGCTTGTGCAGTAGATTGTAGTTTACTTGTTTTACCACTCCGAGACTGCAGTTAGTCACTTGAACAATCATAGGCTGGGCCGTAGCCAAGTTCAAGCCTCTTATACTTCGTGTGTATGGTTTGTCGTTGTCCACCTGCCTCTGCTTTTGGATTTAGATGATTTTGGATGAATTATGCTTATTTTCTGCATACTTTTTGTGTAATCATACACGTAATACATTCTGAAAACCACATGCAGTTTGAGGACTAGTGTACCCTTGTCAACGTTGCCTACTTTCCTTTGTTAAGTCACGGACCGCATAGATAACGGCGTGTTCTACACATAA